CTGGATTTAAGTCACCTGCACAGCTTTCACGTGTCAGAAACACTGGGTATGACTTTTATTTTTCTTTTTGCTGTAAATAGTTTATTTTCAACCTTGAATTGTGAGACTCAAGATAAATGCTGGCTTGTAGTGTCAAACCTGAGATCTTGAAGGACGTTGGAAAAGCAATCACAACTCTTCCAGAGGACTTTAAGCCTCACAGAGCAATAAAAAAGGTTTATGATGAGCGTAAGAAAATGATTGAGACAGGGGAGCGTGTTGACTGGGCATTGGGAGAAGCACTTGCTTTTGCAACATTGCTGGTGGAAGGAAATCATGTTAGGTTGAGTGGTCAGGATGTTGAGAGAGGTACTTTCAGTCACAGACATTCTGTTCTTCATGATCAGGAGACCGGGGCAAAGTACTGTCCTCTTGATCATGTTATGATGAACCAAAATGAAGAGATGTTCACCGTGAGCAACAGGTATGTTCTGATGGTTGTCTGATTATGGAAATTTTGCAGTGTTTTATTTTCATATATTTCAGTTTCTATCTGGATATTTTGTCTAGGCATTTGGATTTTGTGTTTCCATTTGATCTCTGCCGAGTGTATCTAGTTGTGGTGGGTAGATTACTACTTATCGTTGCATAACTAGAAGTGCTTCCGGATGCTTACGAAACTACACTGTAACTGATCCTTGATGTTGTCATTGCAAAATTCTTCTGCCTAGGAACTTCACAACCCGCTGAACAGTTAGTATTCAAAATGTTTCAGCTCGTGATTTGGAGAAAATACTTACCTTACAGATGACCTAACGATANATTTTTTTTTTTATAAAAACAAAGAAATTCATCCGTATGAAAAGTATAGCAATGTAATAGAAGTCTGGTAAGGCAAAAGCGCATCAAAGCATCAATGAAGTTTATTACTCGTATTTGTAATAATCCATAACATCATCCTCTTCTTCAAAGGGTAGACTCTCATTGGCATCGTCATAGTTATACATCTGAATCTCTTCTTGATCTGATTCCCTCTTCTTTATTAGTATGTTGGGATTGAGATTTTGAAGCTGTGGTTGGCTAGCTCTTGTTCTTTCTCCTTGTCGCCTTGTAGGTCCCTTTTGACTTCCTGAAGCCCTTGCCACACTAATCTGTTTTAAATTATCATCTCTTCCTATAACCAGTTGTCCAGTTCATCTTTTGCCTCAGCCACTCACTACCATAATCAAGATTATCCAATGAGGTTTGATCAGTGATGTTCTACTGCTTGAAGTGAGCTTCCTAGAGCACAATGTACTTGTCATACACTAGATCGTTCAATCTTTTCTTTCTACCAGGAATTAAAAACGATTATTGCTATGACAACAAAATAAAGAAGTAATAAAACATCAGAATAATTTGAATCAACTTAGAGAAAATAATATGTAATGGGACTCAATTCTCTTTTTCAATTGATATACAATAAATAATAGAATCAGGAAATCTTTTATTTACTGAATTAAAAAGAAGATAGTGAACCTTTATTGTGAAGAGGTTAAGACAGAGAACATATTGTGTTCACTAAAGCATGCATTTATCGTGACATCATAGAGCCAAGGGGGTGGGGCCTCTCTAGTGGCAAGAAAAGCACACATGCTTGAATGAGTATAACTAAGTCAATCACTTCTGTAGAGTTAACTCTTGCATGAGTTTAATTTGGAAGTGGTTATGTCTCAAATTTTTTAATATATAAGGGCTGTGTAAGGACTAAGGACTATATATGACTCTATGTTTGCTCTTGTATTTTTGTGCAGCTCCCTTTCAGAGTTTGGTGTTCTGGGATTTGAACTGGGTTATTCAATGGAAAATCCAAACTCTTTGGTTCTCTGGGAAGCCCAATTTGGTGATTTTTCCAACGGAGCTCAAGTAATATTTGACCAGTTTTTGAGCAGTGGAGAGGCCAAGTGGTTGCGCCAGACTGGGTTGGTTGTGCTTCTTCCACATGGTTATGATGGCCAGGGCCCTGAGCATTCCAGTGCACGTTTGGAACGGTTCCTCCAGGTATTGTAGCTAATTCCATTTTCCTCAAGGCATTACTTCTTATTTGAAGAACTTGCTCCTTCCTCTTTGGTTAAGGAGCCTTAAGATTCATCTGAAATAAATATGATTTGACATGCTGACTTTCTGTGTGAGAAAAAAGGTCAAGTTGGAACAAGTCAAGGCCATGTGAATCTAATGAATGCAATCATTGTGCGATGTATGCTAGATAGTAATAAGGCCCAATTACATACTACAGCAATGCCGTTGCATTTATATCCTATACTTCAAAGCAGTTTTGAAGAGTATCATGTTCCATCTTCCCTTCTTTACAGAGTTGTTGCATCTTACACTGTTAGGTTAGGATATCTTTATTTGTCTTTTGCTAGTGACTAGCTACATGTTACTGTGTTAGTTAACCATGGAGATCAATCGCAATTAGCCGCATGGTGGACATGGTGTTTGGGTTCTCTATATATATTCTCCTCCAAAAAGTGGGGAAGATCTTTACTTTACCCCGGGGGCATTATGAATGTGTGTTACTTTGATGCTTCTAAAGTATATAGCTCATTTCGTCGTTTGCTCAATGATTTTCATGGCAGATGAGTGATGATAACCCCTTTGTCATTCCGGAGATGGAACCTACATTGAGGAAACAGATCCAGGAATGTAACTGGCAGGTGGTGAATGTGACAACTCCTGCAAATTATTTCCATGTGCTCAGGCGTCAGGTATGTCTGATTGCAAGTTTTTTTATTTTTTGAGCTCGTACACGTATGTATTCTCATGTAGCGCATCACCACCTTCTTAGATTCACAGAGATTTCCGTAAACCTCTTATTGTGATGTCCCCGAAGAACTTGCTCCGTCACAAGGAGTGCAAGTCAAACCTGTCTGAGTTTGATGATGTCCAAGGTCACCCAGGTTTTGACAAACAAGGTACCCGGTTTAAGCGTTTGATAAAAGATCAGAACGACCACTCAGATCTTGAAGAGGGTATCAGACGCTTGGTCCTTTGCTCTGGAAAGGTGCTTTTTCTTATTTCTTTCTTATGATTGACCCCTTGCTCTGTTGTATACTTGTATTTCCTCTCAAGTTTGTTGATATTCATGTCAGACACAAATAATTGCTTCATTTAGCAATAAACGTGTAGGTGCAGACTGGGTGACAAAAGTAGCATGGATAATAGTAAAAAGTATTTGAGTTTATTTTACTTGTTCCGCTCTTTATTTTTTTAATCAAGAAACCTTTTTACTGAATGTCCCCTAAGGCACTGCAGCACTTTTCTTTGAATAACTGTTCTTTTGTGCTCACAAGTTGCTAGTATTGAAGTATGCTTTCATGCCTTATCCCAGGTGTATTATGAGCTTGATGAGGAGAGGAAGAAAGTTAGTGGGAAAGACGTTGCAATCTGTCGGGTGGAACAGCTTTCTCCTTTCCCATACGACCTTGTTCAACGTGAATTGAAGCGATATCCAAGTATGTCTTCTGAAATATTTGGCCTATCCTTTGTTGTCAAATCACAGGGAATGCTACGTTTTCTTTTAAAACATTCAGAAACTGCACTAAACATTTATAGCAAATACGATAAGTTTCTGCACCTGAAGCACAGTTGCTAGCAATACCTTTAAGGCAGTAGCTCGTGTAGACAAACACCAACTGATTTGGCTTTGATGGCACCTTTTATTGAGGTTGCTACTATAAAGTTATGTCAAATGTTTAGCGAAGCTAATTTAATGTCGTTTAACTGTCATGTTGTCAGATGCGGAGATTGTTTGGTGCCAAGAGGAGCCAATGAACATGGGTGCATACAGTTACATTGCACCACGTCTTTGTACTGCGATGAAAGCACTGGGCAGAGGTGATATGGATGACATAAAATATGTTGGTCGAGCTCCTTCTGCTGCCACAGCTACTGGTTTCCAGCAGGTTCATGTGAAAGAACAGACCGAGCTTGTCCAGAAAGCCTTGCAACAGGATCCAATTAATTCTCCCTGAAGCTGAGGCTTTGTTCTATTCTTTGCAATAAGTACCAAGACTGATGGTGAAATAAGAGATCTAACTCTATACAAACTACTTTCTGGTGAAAGTTTTGATTCTTTGGGAAACAGGGGCATATTGTTTGTGCTCTTTTTTCTTTTTTCTTGGTTAAACTCAATTAATGCTTATAGTATCCTAGATCTGTACAAATAAAATGTCAGAACTAAGTGTCCTGTTCTCCCTTCAATTCTTGTGAGAGAATGAACTCCACTATTTGTCCTCAGAGCTGGCGATACATTTGCAGATTTTGTTTCCAGTTTGTCATTGACCCATTTAAAAGAAGAATGAATGAAAGCTCTCCTTATTCTCCTATAATTTGTATTATCTTCTTCAAATTTTTTTTTTTAGCATTTGCTTATTAGTATTTTCTAGACTTGATTTAGAGAAAAAAGGCTTCCCTAATCTAATGGTAGTCCTTTAATCTCCTGTTACCGTAGATATTTGCTTCTTGGGTTTATGTCTTTTTTGATGTAATGCAATTCGTCTAAAATAATGATTAAGTTGTTCTAGCATTAGGAAGAAACTGCTGAAACTTTTGACGATTTGCAGGAACTAAGTTTGAACTGAGAAAAGTAAATCTCTTTAAAAAAAATCATCAATGTTGCAAGATTGAAGAAGAGAGTCATGAATTTTTAATCTGAAAAGTGAGTTAAATCAAGTGAAAATTATTGGAAAAGTTTGGAAACATTGGCAGGGATGAATATTGATAGTTCAAACTTGAGAAAAACTGCTTAGCTTCAAACATATATTCAAACTTCAGAAATACATGTTTACATGTTTGAAGTTTGAGAGTTCCAAGCTTTAACTTCATATAAGTATGTTAGAAGTTTGGCCTTGGCAAACCAAACTTCAAAGGCCAAACTTCAGATGCGTATATCAGAAGTTTGCTTGCACAAACGTTATACCAAATTTCTGACATTGGTAATTCAAACTTAGAGATATACATATTTGAAGTTTGAGACTTCCAAGCTTAACTTCAGATGCGTGTGTTAGAAGTTTGTCCTTGGCAATCCAAACTTTAAAGGCCAAACTCCTGTTGCGCATGTAGGAATATGCCAAACTTCTGATATTGGTAGTTCAAATTTCAAAAATACACACTTGAAGTTTGAACCTTCCAAACTTCAGACGCGTATGTCGAAAGTTTGCTTGCACAAGTAATATGTCAAATTACAAGCAAAATTTGTAACTTCGTACACGAATATTTGCAACTTCAATCGCGTATGTTGGAAGTTATTTCTAAAGTGGCTAAACTTACAAATATTAATAAATTTCGGCTACGCCCTAAATGGGGTTCCTAAAATCGGCTATATGTGTACTTGACCCATTAAACTAGAGATGTAATCCCCTTTCTCCAATTACAATTGTGGAAACAACTCATAACTTATTCCCGTTTTATTGATTTTTGAAATATTCATATCAATATCGTAAAAGAGATTTATAATTGACGATATTAATTTGATAAATTTGATAAAGTTCCCATATTATTATATTCATGGTGGTGCTAACAAATATAAACATTATCAGGTCACATATAATGTAAGGCAAACTACTTTATTTATTAAGCAGTAACTGATAACCTAAAATAATCAGTTATACTGGTTAGGGGTATACAAACTGAACCGGAAAATTGCGCCAAACCGATTAAAAAATCTGACTAGGTTTGGTTTAATTTAGTTTGGTATTGAGTAAAAAAATCCGAACCAAACCGACATATAAATATATAATTTTAAGACTTTATATAGAATTTAATTTAAAAGATGTCTAGAAATATTTGAGATCCTCTCATGTGATATAATATTTAATAGAACTATAAAGTGCATTCATTTTTATTTACTTTAAATAATAGATTGTATCACTTTCTTATTATGTATTATTGAAATGCGTCAATCATCTCTTTGTTCTTTCATATTCATATGTCAAGATTTATTATATGTTTTTCGAATTTGAAGTGGTATTTTGATAATCTAAAATTACATAGAACATTTCATTATTTAGGTATCATATTGATTTTTATGTTTAATTATTAAATTTGATTAACCCTGAAAGCGTACATTAACCAAAAATTATTGGTAGACGACTAAGAAAATAAACTATTATGTGTTACTAAAAACAATTCTCCCATAAGATCACTTTAATAGATCATATGTTTATTACTTTTTTTTTAAAATATTTAGTAAACATATATTCAATTATCAAAATTTATCTATAACTTTAATAATGCAAGATTGAAATAATATTCATGTAACAAAAAAAATCCGAAAAACCCAAAAAATCCGACAAAACTGAACCAATCTAAATCGATATAATTGGTTTGATTTGATTTTGATAAAATCCGAACCAACCCGATCCATATACATCCCTCGTACCGGTAATGAAAATTTCTTTTGGACCGTTACTGCATATTACTTAAGTCCAAAAATGAAGTAGCTTAGTCACATCACACTACAAAACCTATGGAAAAACAGATAGGGATAAGGTGAAAGTATGAGGTGTATGTCAATTAGACTAAATCTGGAGGCGGTAAAAATGAAATGAGCCCTTTTCCTTCACCTTTAATTTCCAGCACTACGTTTTCCTTCACCTTTAATTTCCAGCACTACGTTTTCCTTGTTTTTTTTTTTTTTTTTTTTTTTTTTTTTTTTTTTTTTTTTTTTTGTTTCCTATTCGATTTTGGTATCTGCGTAAGGGTTCGATCACATCGTGTAAGGCTTATTAAAAGGAAAAACATATTTTTAAACCAGGATATTTTTTATTTGCAGGACTCGAATTCAAGACTTCTAATTAAGTACGGTGAAATCCTATTCATTCCACTATTTCGCTTGGGAGTAGGTTTTCTACAGCTTTGACATTTGTGTGAGGCACAAAGCAAAAGTTTTTTTTTGACAATGTGTGTCAACACATATTTACTTCGCTTAGATTGTATACAAAAACGAATTTAGAATTTAGATAAATTCAGAGTTATTGTGAATTTATTATATTTATATATCATTTTTGAATAATTTTGTACACACATATGTGTGCAAGATCATTGAATCTAATTGAACCCATTACAAGTGGTTAGATCTGCAAATGATCATATACTTTATTTTATTTTTAAAAATATATATACATATTTGAGTTTGCATCCAATCACAAAGAAGTAGCCTGTGCAGTGGTACTACCTGACTATAAACTTGGAATCTTGAATTTACCAGTAACATATGTAGGATTTGTACAAGCGGCATCAGTCTATTGTCACACTTTCACTTTTTAGTTTTGATTTAAGATTTACGATGGTTTTAAAACTTTACTTCCTATCTCAAATTGATTGTACCTTATTAAGATGGTCTCAACCTTGTGTATACATACATGTTAATACTCAAAAATTAATATATACGCACAAATATAAGAAAACGTATCTTCTTATCCGCAAATTTCTTTTATTATGTGCTGGTTCTTTCGCTTCGATTATTCTATCAACTTTATCTTGTTGTTGTTATGTTTGTTGTTTTTGCTTCTTCTTTTTTTTCATTTTTTTTGAACTGGTGTCTATCGAAAACAACCTATATGCCTTCACAGGGTAATGATAAGGTCTACGTATATTCTACCCTCCCAGACCCCACTTTATAAAATTATACAGAGTTTTTTGTTGTTGTTATTGCACAAATATAAGAATAATTCTAAGTGAAGTGGTATCGGATTACACCCCAATAAAGGGTATGTCCACCAATTTGAATTCTCCTCTATCTAGTCGTGCTTTTACTTTTATATTTTCCCCCTTTTTACGGTAAAAAAAAGTTCTTGGCGTAACTAGTAAAGTTACTGTCATGTGATCAGAAGATCACGGGTTCAAACCATGAAAATAGCCTCTTGTAAAAATGTAGAGTAATTAGACTGCGTACGATAGACTCATGTGATCCGTCTCTTTCCGGACTCCACGCATAGCGGGAGATCAATTTAGTACACCGGACTGCCTTTTACCGTGGGAAATAGGCATCTGGTTTCAAGGGAATCACAGCAAATGTCAAATAGTAGGCATTCATTGCCCAAGTGAACGCGATCTGACTAGGAATGATTTGTGTTTGCCAACAGCTAATATTTGTGAAACTGTCACATTATAGTTTGTTGCATACTGTTTTAATTTATCTACTGATGGGATGTAAAGTACTTTAATTTGTCACATTAACGTGTCCCTGCATTTTCCTGTTTTATCTGATCAATTACAAGATAATGAAAAAAATCAGAAATCCTATGTAAAAGTACTGACCTAATTTACCTCAAATTATGGTTCCTAACGAACTGAGACAACCCATTACTCTCCCCCCTAATTCTTTGTAATCGTGGTTTACGTTGTATCTTTTACTCAATTTACAATAACAATATTAATCCTTGAGTCGTGGATATATCAAAAACATCGTCTTTACCTTATCAAGGTAAGGATAAGGTTTGTGTATATACTACCGCTTCAAACCCCATTTGTGGGATTACACTGTGTTTGTTGTTATTGACAACAACGGTATTAATTAGAGGAGATCCAGGATATAGACTTTATGGTTTTGAGTTTGAAAATTTACCATAACTTATTTAATAAAGTGGATTTAAAATCTATTACTTTTACGTATTTGGTGAATTTTTCAACAGATATACATGAATTGAGCCAAAATTATTATATTCAGATGAACCGTAACATATACACTACATTCGACCTTAGTTAGTACTAATAAGGGTTCAATTCCACGACCGAAAGTTAGTCTAATTCCTCCCTATTCACAAAACTTGGGAACAAAATTGAGATTACATCTTATAAATTAAGAAAATTAAACTTAAAGTCTTATCTGCGAATGGGAGGTTTGGCGTAACTGGTAAAGTTGTTGCCATGTGACCAGGTTATGGATTCGAGTCGTGGAAACAATCTCTTGCATAAATACTATGTACGATAGACCCTTCTGGTCCGACCTTTCCTCGGATCCCGCACAGAGCTTAGTGCATCAGGCTGCCCAACTTAAATCTTATCTGCACATGTATCATCACGTGCCAGTATTTACCATCTAAATTGTTTTAATTAGTGATGAATATGTCTTGCTAATAAAAGATACTACATGATAACGGAAACATCGAAAGTTGTACTTGTGATTTTAATAAAAAAAGCACTCTACTGATATCGTTGTCTTTTCCAATTAACAAAAATATATTACTCCACTATTGATCTGCAACATATAACTCTTTCTTGACACAAACTGAACACTCAAGAAAGAATATATCAAGAAAAAATTAACTATTTAGCAATGATAATTTTGGCAATGTAATGTCTAAAATTTGTTTTAATAATTTGA